CTGTTGGTGAGCATCTGCAGGTCCTCGACGGAGGGTGGCGACCCTTTCTTCTCATAGGGAATCACCGTGTTCAGGTACTGCATAAAAAAAAAAAACACAAACCCCCCAAAAAAAACAAAAAACCCACCCCAAAAACCATCCGGATGGCACAAAATTGCCGATTTTTTGCACAAATCACCCCAAATTGATGCAAAAGCAGAATATGTCCGCAGTTTTCCCGCGGTTGCATTTAATTCGCAGGTATTTTGAGGGGCTACCGAATTAATTGCACGCAGCAAAACCCACCCCAAAGCGAACCCCTGCTTAGGGAGGATTTTTTTTATTTTTTGGGGTGAAAAACTTGGATTTTTGGAAGAGGGATTAGCGGGATGTCGGGGAGGGAGTGGGGTCGTAGAATTAAAAAGTATTTTAAAAAGGGGTTTGGTGGGTGCAGGGGAATGGGGTGTGCAGGATGGGGGGTTGAAAGGGGACAGATTTGGGCAATTTTGGGGGGACAAAAGGGCAAAAAGGTACCTGCTTCTCATTGGCAGCGGGACCGAAGGTCTGGCGTAGGCCGGAGTGAAGGATGCTGGAGATGCCCTCCATGCTGAAGCGCTGGGGACACACATGTCACCCTGTCACCTCCCGGGGACACAGACATCACCCGTGGTACCCCCCTTGGCACCAACGTCCCCCTGACTCCCTGAAACCCATCCACGTCCCCCCTGTCCCCCTGTGCCCCCCCGGCCCCGTCCTCACCCACCCAAACCCGTGTCCCCCATCCCCTGTCCCCATATCTCCTGTCCACTTGACCCATCCCCTCTCCTGTCCCTGCATCACCCCCTCCCGTGTCCCCATCCCTCACCCTCCCGCCCCACGTCCCTCTGACCCATCCCCTGGCCCCACAACCCCCTGTGCCATGTCACCCCATCCCGCATCCTCCTGTCCCATGTCCCTCTGCCCCGTCCCCTGTCACCCATCCCCTGTCCCCACATCCCTGTCCCCTCATCCCTCATCCCCCTGCCCCATGTCCCATGTCCATCCGCCCCATCCCATCACCCATCTCCTGTCCCCCAATCCCTGTCCCATGTCCCCTCATCCCCCTGCCCCATGTCCCCCATACCATGTCCATCCTCCCCATTCTATCACCCATCCCTTGTCCCATGTCCTTCTGCCCTGTCCCCTGTCCCCAAATCCCATCCCCACATCCCTGTCCCATGTCCCCTCATCCCTCTGACCCATGTCCCCTTGTCCCATGTCCCTCTGCCCCATCCCATCACCCATCCCGTCCCAACATCCCGTCATCTCATGTCCCCTCATCCTCCTGTCTCATATCCCTCTGCCCCATCCCATCACCCATCCCCTGTTCCCACATCCCTGTCCCATGTCCCCTCATCCCTCTGCCCCATCCCATCACCCATCCCCTGTCCCAACATCCCGTCATCCCATGTCCCCTCATCCTCCTGTCCCATGTCCCTCTGCCCCATCCCATCACCTATTCCGTCCCCACATCCGTGTCCTATGTCCCCTCATCCCTCTGCCCCGTGTCCCCCTGTCCCATGTCCCTCTGCCCCATCCCATCACCCATCCCCTGTCCCAACATCCCATCATCCCATGTCCCCTCATCCTCCTGTCCCATGTCCCTCTGCCCCATCCCATCACCTATTCCGTCCCCACATCCGTGTCCTATGTCCCCTCATCCCTCTGCCCCGTGTCCCCCTGTCCCATGTCCCTCTGCCCCATCCCATCACCCATCCCATCCCAACATCCCGTCATCTCATGTCCCCTCATCCTCCTGTCCCATGTCCCTCCATCCCATGTCCCTCTGCCCCGTCCCCTGTCCCCACATCCCTATCCCATGGCCCCTCATCCTCCTGC